ATATTTGAATATTTTTCTATTTGTCTTTTCATTAACTTTTGTAATTTTCAGAGATTCTTTACATTATAATAATAATAATAATAATAATAATAATAATGTATATTTCAAACTAGTTTACAGATTAAATGATAACAATATATGTACAAGTTATGGTCATGGAATAAAATCAGTGATATATTACATATTTACAATTACAGACACTAGTTTGCGGACTAGAAAGTCTTCAGACTGTATAAACTAGCCCAAAAAAATTTTCTCATTTGTTCTTTTTTAGACTGTATTATTGAGCGATGAGATATACTAGATACTGTGCATCCTTTCTATTTTTTTATCTATCTATCTTTATCTTTCTATAAACTGTGATTTTTTATCTTTTCGTTTTTCCTTTTATTAATTTTTATATCCGTCTATATATCTATCCATCTTTTAGGACGGAAATCGCTTACTAATATTTATTCCTCTCCCCACTTAACCTGAAGGACATCTAACTTCCGGTTGAAATTGGAACTTCCGGTCGGAGTGTGCAGTAGTGTCCTCAGTAGCAGGATAGCTGTGTCAGTCAACCTTTCTTACAACCTGGGATTAAGTGATCAAAAATCAATCAATCAATAAATAAATCAGCGTGTATTTGAAATACACCGATTATTCGAGAAAAAAAACGTTTGTTGATCCGATAGAAAAATTCTGCGAGATTGATAATTAAACGATATTGACTTGAAGTTTAAATCACACGTAGAATTGAATCCATTTGTTAAATTTAATCAAATACATAATCAATCTTTGATACAGTCTTGAAATTAATTGATCAATTACATTCATTTAATGCAATATCAAATCGATCTGTCATTGAAAAATCACTCAAACTGGTTTTATTCAGAAAATAAACTAAATTAGCATAAAAAGTTAAGTTTTTTATTAACAGAATCAAGTTTTAGAATATTTATTAATTTGTCGGCTTATAAATTCTTGTGTAGGGTGATGTAATAGTACCAAATATATCAAATCCTTCTTACACACAATTTTAAGTGATCCTTCATTCAATGAGTGGCATGCCCGGTGCACAATGGTACCTTTAAAAGATTTTTGTTATTAAAAAAATGAGATATCCAAGTTTTCTATAAGAAAACTTTTATTTTCAATTGTATTTATCCTTAAAAGTTACTTGCGGATTTCTATTGCAAAAACAATGAAGAAGATTGCCAGAAATAGACACTCTTTGTATGTATTTAAAACGGCGATATATTCCAAATTATTGTTAAAACAAAGGTTTAAAAAATACCATTGTGACTCGGGAATTGTCTTTTTAAATAAAAGTTCCCCTGAGGTAACAAAAGTGCAAATAAAAAGCAACGGTAAAATGAAAATAATAAAGTTCAATCAGTAAATAACAAGTTAAACAAAATCTAAAACCGAAAATTCAATTTAATGTTAACATTTTGAGATAAATCCAAAGATTAAACTTTAACGAAGACAACTTTAGGAATGCGAATTTTAGACTTTTTTAAAGAGCCCCCCCCCCCGTACTTAGCACTGGGCACCGTTAACGGGAAGTGGTCGTTTTTTCAGTTATTTTTCGTTAACGACCAGATAGACGCGTAGAAATTAACCAACACAGTTGAAAAAATGGAACGATCATAAATTAACGAACCAGGAACGAGGAACAGAAATAGTGCTCGAAAAAATTAATGTTACAATTTTTATCACATTTTTTTTCAGGGACACCCTAACCTTCATTTATCATCTTCAACAATTATCTTTATGAGATAAAGGCATCTTTAATGATCACACCTCGAAACTTTAACGAACGGTATAACACATGGACAATCGTTAATTAAAACACGGAACGCAAACAAAACGAGCTTTCAAGAATGGGTTGTCGCCCAAAAAACAGATTATTAATTTTAGAGATAAAAATGGCTAAAACTTGAAATGAATGTAATGTCCCTAAACTCCCTGAACAGAACAGATTATCTTGAGTATATAAACCCCCCTCCTCTCTCCTACCCCCCTCACCCCTCATATCTAGCTCCTAGCCCCCTATACTACTCATCATCAGTACCTTACTATCTTCCTAAACATCTGCCACCATCAAACCAACCATCTTTTTATACAAGTTCTTCCAAACCATCTTCCACGACCTCCTCACCACCCTCAACCAGCTCATCATCACCCATCAAACCCTTCCCTTTACCACACCCTTACCCCCACCCAACCCGCCTTACCAATCCATTATATTTACCCCCCAACCAGACCTATCCATATTACCCTGAAGACCCACACTATCCTGGCCCCGCCCCCTGGTCCATCCCGGGAAACTATCACGCCCCAAATTATCCTCTGCCTGATGAAAATAAAGCTAGACCATCTCGTGCTCCTTCAGACCAATATGACTCGGTTAGTAACATTTTAAAACTAAAAAATATTGCGTTAAAGGGGCTGTCAATGTCATTTCCAGTGACCCTTCTTAAAAAAAAGCATGTCCGATTCACAACGGTGACCTTTCAATTTTTATGGTATCAATAATGTAAAGATATCGGCGTATTTAGAGCGTTAAAAGTGTTTAATTCTGAAAATCAACTCCATTGATTCTGTACGGTGGTAGGCGAATGCGATTATAGCAATACAATGAAGACGACTTTTTTATTGAAGTTTTAACTGTTAGCAAGCTTTTGTCGAATTACAAGTTTACAAGCAATTAAAGATAAGCTTTTTTAATTGACAGCTTCTCTCCATTTCCATGTTTTTGTGTATTCATGCTTTATAGAAATCAAAATTAATCTCGAAAGTCGTCTTCATTATATTGATAAAAACAACTACCACCGTATCAAGATATCCACAGCTCAATTTTATAGAAAACCCAAAATCTAAAAGTCAAAAAGAGAAACACATTGCTTTGATAGCTTATTCATTAACAGTCAGACAAACTTTAAAGGGTACCGTTCGAAATCTAAAATTTAATAGATACAAGAGAAAAACTAGGTAAAGTTCTACTACGAACACAAGTTCTTTTTGCAAATTCTTGGAATATTCCGGTAACGAACAAAATTATTGGAATATTCTGGTACCGAACAAAATTATTGGAATATTCTGGTAACGAACAAAATTATTGGAATATTCTGGTAACGAACAAAATTATTGGAATATT